CGTTTTTGTCTGAAAGTGATTTTATTAAAGCCACAGTTAAAAATAGGTTGTTGAGTTTCCGTTCAGAAAATCTACACATCCGGACTGTACAGTGTGGGGGGGGGGGTTTGATGGAAACACACTATTTGGAGACATGTCGGTTGCCAAACCAGTTCTGAAGATCTCTACCCCAGACCCATGGACTTAGGTAGTTCTGAGAGAAGAATCAACATGCTGCACAACAAGGTAAAGCAAGATGAAGCACTAGAACACTTCTAACAGAAAGGAATAAGGAGACACTGAGAGCAGCCCAAGGTGCTGTGCTCAGTGAGGGCACACTGATCAACCGGGTCAGAGGGTGGGCCGAGGACAAGATGTCCCCAACAGCAGTTATAGGATTAGTAGTACACTGAAGTTAACAGGAAGTGAAGGGGGGGTTAACCGAAAGTGAAGGGGGGGTTAAGAGGAAGTTACGGGGGGGTTAAGAGGAAGTGATGGTGGGGGTTAACAGGAAGTGAAGGGGGGGTTAACAGGAAGTGAAGGTCTTCCAGAAGAAGTTCTTGCAGCCGGCCTTCCTCTCCCTGGGGGTCAGCAGCGGCCCGGCGGCGGCGGCGCGTTCCAGATCCAAACGGATGTTCTCCGGTTCTCCAGCAGCAGGGAACCCGTCCTCCTCCAGAGCCTCGTTCTCCTGCAGCAGGTCGGACAGCAGCAGCTCGGCCAGCGACGCGCGGGACAGCTCCTGGGGTTTCATGAATATATATATTAGAGGAAAACCAGGGACAACGTGGATTTAATAAATAATACAAAATCAATGTATATATTAAAAAGATAAAGACATGGGATATAAATATATATATTAGAGATAAAGATGAAAACCAGGGACAGCTCCTGAGATAATAAATACAAATAACAATAATACAAAAATCAACAGAGAAAGGATTTGATAAAAATAGTCATTAAGATAAAAAAGAAACTTCTACAGTCTACATGCGAACAGTTCAAAATAAAAGTATGTAATTTAGATGCACGGATGTAATCATCTCATAAAGCCTGAGACGTGTAGTTCATATGTATCTCTCTATGTATATATATATATATATTGGTTATATAAATACCGTTTGACTGAGGGACAGATTTTAATATCTGTTTTCTCCGAGACTTGTGTAATAATCAAATTGATCACATTCAAATAAAAGTTGGAACCCATAAATAAAAATACACATTTTTAGGTGTGAAAATCGTCGTGAAGGACCTCCTGAAATATAAAAAATATATATTTTATAATATAATGTTGTAAAAGTAAAGTAAAGGAAGCAACAACAACAACAAGAACAACAACATGTCAAACAACGTAAACTAAAGATAGAAACAACGGGGAGTCAAACACGTTGAGAAAGATATTCATAATTTCTTATTTATTTATTAACGAGATTATTAAGATGTCATTTATTAATTAGCAGCATGTACAACAAGTGTTGCACATCATTAGAAATAAAGAAGAGTAGAAAATAAACAATTATACGATAAAAACATTTCATCGGAATAAAAGATAAAACAGAACTAAAAAATATGAAAGTTGACCGTGAGGGAAAATCAGTTTGAGGACAAAACCCCCTCGGACTCAGAGACCGTGTCCTCCCTCGATAAGACACCTGCACTCTGTGAAGAACATCCATAACATCCTCCTGTACGTTATTCATCTATCGATCATATTCCATCTACGTGCACACGGACTCTTTATTTCTATTTGATTTGTGTTTTCTTTCACATTCGATCTGTTTTATTAGCTCAGTTTATATTCAAGTTGCTCAGCTGGAGGAGACTTCAGTTTCTCATCTCCAGATCTCCCCTGAAGCTGCTACACGGTGAGAGAGACTTGAAACTTGAATTTACAGAGAAAAGTCTGCATTTTTAGATTTTCTGAATTTTGAGAAAAAATCTGACTGAGTTTTTCTGAAAAAAATCAGATTTTGGGGATTTTCTCAAAAAATTCCGAATTTTATATTTATTTCAGAACAAAGTCAGAATTTTAAGATTTTCAAAATGTTGAGAAAAAGTCTGAATGTTTTGATTTTCAGAGAAGAGTCTGAATGTATGAAAAATGACGATGGATCTTTTCTTAGATGAATCTGTTTCATGAGCGTTATGTTGCTCAGCTGGAGGAGACTTCAGTTTCTCATCTCCAGATCTGCTCTGAAGCTGCTGAGCTCACGGCGAGAGAGACTTGAACCTTGAATAGTATTTACATTAGTGGATGGCACGTTAGATTAGGACCAGGTGTACATGTACAGAGAGAAGTTAGAGGAGGAGCCACGGAGCTGGGAGTCCTCGTTCCTATGGAGTTAGGGTTTTAACGGCAGGTATTTAAAACGAGGTGTAATCAGATTACTGCAGGATTACAGCACATTTTGAAATGAAGGTCGATATATATAAAGTGGACGCCTGATTTATGAAACAAAAATACTGTTTGCTTTTCATTCATTTCCGAAACGACATGTTCTCTGTAAGTCTGAGTCAAGGTCACAGCGTCTCGGTTTCTTCTTTCCTCACGCCAACTTCAGAAACAGAGAAATGACATGTTTTTATATTTTGATGACGAGGTCACTGATTACAGTTCAACCCTGACCTGCTGTGTGTGTGTGTGTGTGTGTGTGTGTGTGTGTGTGTGTGTGTGTGTGTGTGTGTGTGTGTGTGTGTGTGTGTGTGTGTGTGTGTGTGTGTGTGTGTGTGTGTGTGTGTGTGTGTGTGTGTGTGTGTGTGTGTGTGTGTGTGTGTGTGTGTGTGTGTGTGTGTGTGTGTGTGTGTGTGTGTGTGTGTGTGTGTGTGTGTCTGTGTGTGTGTGAGTAAGTCAATGTTTCATCACCTATTTCTCCATGTCTCGTTTTGTGTTTCCTTCTGCGTCTGTCGTTATAGTTTCCGTCTCTTTTTTAGCATTCTTTAATCTAACCCTTATCGATCATTTGAATCTCTTGTTTTTTTGTTATTTTTCTTACTTCTGACCATTTTTTCAGTTGTTTAGGGTCTTTTTTAACGTCTACTTCTGTTTTAGTCATTTTGCTCTCCGTCTCAGATAATAAACTTGTGTGTGTGTGTGTGTGTGTGTGTGTGTGTGTGTGAGGGTG